ATAGATGTTCTTCTATTCGTTTGGGTGAGGTATGTTTTTTAGAGTCGACTTTTGCTACGGGCTTGCGTTTTCCGATTCATCCATTTGTAGAAGAAATTCTTTCTCATCTGAAGATAGCTCCTTCTCAAATTGCTCCTAATTCATGGAGAATTATTATAGGCTGTTTGATTGTTTGGGGAAAGTGTGGCAATGACCGTCTAACAGTAAATCAATTCCTGCATTTTTATTATCCCAAGAAGAAAAAAGACAATTTTTGGTACTTCTAGTGTAGATCAAAGAAGACATTCCTCTTTGTTGCAACCCCTGAAAATAATAAAGGTTGGAAGAGTCGTTTCTTTTTTATTTCCGGTGCATACGGGAAATTTCCAACTGCTTGGAATGATTCAGATCCAACAGGTAAGATTTATATGTATATAGTTTCCAAATTATTATTATTATTTTTATTATTTTTATTTTTTATTTATTTTTTTTTTTTTTTGCACCCGAGGGAACAGTACCCTCGGGTACTGTTCATGAATAGTAAAATATTTTTTTTTTTTTTAGTGCAACTTATTATTCTTTTTCCCAAAATTTAAGGACAAACCAACCCTCTCCATTCCAGAAGCCGAGTATGTTGGTTATGCCTCTTCTTACCCAGTGAAGACCTTTAGCGATTTCATAACTGACGAGACTTTAGATTTGTATGTACGAGCTCATAGCTCAAAGGAAACCTCCACCCACTCAGAGAAAGGTAAGAAAAACAAAGATACTTATATGTAAACTTACTGATTTTAGTTAATATCTCATTAAGTATTTCCCTTATTACTCTTTATGCAGGCAAGAAGCTCAGTAAAAGGCTCCTAGCCCAAGTTCGGTCAAGTAATCTCCCTTCTACTCCTGCTTCCAAAAAATTACGAAGGGTAGAAGAAGGGAATCATGGTACATCCGCAAGCCCTGGAGTGTTATCAGGTTCTACTCCTGTACCTCTAGGTTTCAGCGGATTTGGTGGGGTTCCTACTAGTTTTGAAAGTTTTGGTTCGGTATCAACCAACCAAGCCTTTTCCCACAGGGAATTGGTTCTCGATGACGCTAATGTCGCGAATGGCAGGTTACATAAAATGGTAGTAAAAGATGACACTGCCAGATTGCAGAGTCTACCAGCATCTGAGCTTTCAAAGAAATTTCTTCATCTAATCAGCCAGGTGAAATTTTACCCTTATTATGTGCATCTTTTTTATTTATTTATTTATTTATTTTTAACTGTTCGCCACTATTTATTTATTTATTTATAGGGCACTACATACTCTGTTGTTATCGCCAAAGAATATGAGAAGCTTTCCCTAGAGATGGCTTCCTTCAAGGCTAAATATGAAGATGTTACTTCTACACTTAAAATAAAAGAAGATGACTTGACTAATGCAAAATTAAACTTTCAAGATGAGAAAGTGAAACTTACCAAAGAATACTCTGATAAGCTGGAACTCGAGAATCTAGCTGTCGTGGAGAGTTTTAAAAATTCTAATGAATTCAAGGTGCTCATAGGCAAGGCTTGCTGTGATGGTTTTGACCGGTTCAAAGCTCTTGTCGGCAAAGATCGTCCAGACATAGACTTTTCTATGTATGACATTCTAAGTGAGAGCGAAGAGGAAGATTGAATTCCATAGTATTAGTCATATATATATATATATATATATATATATATATATATATATATATATATATATACATATATATTAGGTTTTTTGATTTTTTAGTATGTTGTTCATTTAGAACTTTTCATAATATCTCTGAATCCAGAGAATAGTTGCTCTACTTTTGTCTTTCATGGTATTGTTTCATACTTGTTGTTTCCTTATACAGAACTTATTTTACTTTCCCAGGCTTCACTCAGCCCGTCCTTCTTTCGAAGGAACATATTTTTACGAGCTTCACCCAACTCGTCCCTTTAGTAAGGGAAAGTCACTTATTTCTTTTAATAAAGAAGTGGACTTAAGACTTATAAAATTCAGTAGAAACACGTGTAATAAACACGATATTAAAGACCTATCGAAAATAATAATCGATAGTCGAATATTAGCATCCATTACACACTGGTCTGCTTTATTGAAGTTAAACACATTCTATCACTTTTAAAAGTGAGATAATAAAATAAAACACAGCCTGACATGAGTACCTACTGGTAATATTTCCTCAAATGTTCTGCATTCCACGGGTGGGGAAACTAGCTCCCACCAAGTGACTCTAACTAGTATGCCCCCGGTCTGTTGCTTTTGGTTACTCGATAAAGGCCCTCCCAATTGGGAGCTAACTTTCCTTCCCCTTTTTCCTTAGTAGCCGGGGTAACCTCCCGAAGCACCAGGTCTCCTGGTTCGAACCTCCTTGGTTTGACCCGGGCATTATAGTACTTGGATATAATCCGCTGGTAAGCCGCAACCTTGACCTGGGCCTACTCCCTTTTCTCTTCTACCAGGTCTAGGTTTAATCGTAGTTCCACTCCGTTCTGTTGAGGTTCAAAATACTTGGTTCTGAAGGTAGCAACCTTTGTATCTACCGGGATCACAGCTTCACTTCCAAAAGCTAACCCAAAAGGGGTCTCCCCAGTAGGGGTTCTTACAGTAGTGCGATAGGCCCATAAAACTCCGGGTAGTTGTTCAGGCCATAAGCCCTTGGCCTTTTCTAGGCTCGTCTTGATCATCTTCAATATTGTCCTATTCGTGACCTCAACTTGCCCAATGGCTTGGGGATGGGCAGGAGAGGAGAAATGAACTTTGATCCCAAGTTCATTACAAAAATCGAGGAACTGCTCACTTTCAAACTGCTTCCCATTATCGGTCACAATTACCCTTGGTGCTCCGAACCTGCAGATTATTGTCTTCCAGAAACCTTTTTTACTTCATTCGCTCCAATATGAGCTAATGGCTCAGCTTCTACCCATTTGGTGAAATAATCGATAGCCACAATTGCGTATTTAGTTTTGTCCCTTCCCTTGGGGTAAGGAACCGATGAGGTCCGTCCCCCATTGGGCAAAAGGCCACGGCCTTGTAAGAGGGGTTAACTTTTCTGCTGGTTGTTTTGGGACATTGGCGAATCTTTGACACTTGTCATATTTCTTCACAAACTCAAGTGCATCTGTCCTCATAGTAGGCCAAAAGTATCCTTGTCGGATAGCTTTATGCGCTAGTGATCTGCCCCCAGCATGATTTCCACAAAGGCCTTCATGTATATCTTGTAGAATGAAATTTGCCTCATCAATGGAGACACAACGCAAGTAGGGTAGAGAAAATCCCTTCTTGTAGAGAACCCCATCAATAAGGGAATATTTTGCCGCACGCATCCTAATCTTTCGTGCTTCCATGCGGTCCTAGGGTAGCTCTTCGTTCTCAATGTACCCGATAATGGGTTCTGCCCACTCCATGCCGTGGGCCACCTGGTGTATTTTCTATGGCCAATCCCAGACCGTGCTAGGCTCATCCAAATATCCCACGAGTATGGCTTTATCTTCCTCTGTGGTTGCCAGTCGAGCTAGGGCGTCTGCCTGCGCATTCTCTTCTCGGGGAATCCAGTGAATAGAAAACTTCTTAAAAAAACCCTTGATATCCTCTATTTTATGTAAATAGGTCTTTATCTTCTCATCCTTGGCTTCATATTCCCCCTGGACTTGTCCAGTTATTAGTTGAGAGTCAGTATATGCTACTAGTCGTTCAACTTCCAAAGCTTTCGCCATCCTTAGGCCTGCTAAGAGGGCTTCATCTCATTGTTGGTTGCTTTAAAACCAAACCTGAGTGCATATTTGATGCATTCCCCATTTAGGGAGATAATTACTAGCCCTGCCCCACTTGCACGGGCATTGACAGACCCATCCACATATAACGTCCAAGTAGATTCGACTTTTTCCTGCTTATTTACAGCATGCTCGGGCCCATCTTTTAGTGTGAATTCCGCTATAACATCTGCCAGTACCTGGGCTTCTAAGGCCGTTCGGGGTTTGTATTGGATATCGAACTCTCCAAGTTCTACCGACCACTTCATGAGTCGCCCTGAAGTATCAGGTTTGCGGAGAACCTGCCTAAGTGGCTGGTCTGTCAATACTATTATTGTATGAGCTTGGAAGTAAGGCCTGAGTTTCCTCGCGGAGATAACTAGAGCAAATGCCAATTTTCTATCCTTGGGTACCTTTCTTCCGCCCCCCTAAATGCACGGCTAATATAATATACTGGTTTCTGGTTTCCATCCTCTTCGCAGACTAAGGCTGAGCTTACTGCCGACGGAGAAACCGCCAAGTACAAATACAACTGTTCTCCTTGCATCACTCGTGACAATAATGATGGTGAAGTGAGATACTCTTTTAGCTCTGTAAAAGCTTGCTCGCACTCAGGGATCCATGAAAAAGCTTTCTTGAGCACACAGAAAAAAGGCAAACACCTATTGGTCGCCCTAGAAATCAACCTGTTCAGAGCTGCGATCCTTCCTGTCAATCTTTGAAGTTCCTTGGTCGATGCTGGAGACTGCATGTTGAGAATCACCTGGACCTTCTCAGGGTTAGCTTCTATCCCTCTTCTACTTACCATGTAACCGAGGAATTTCCCAGAGGAGACTCTGAAGGCACATTTACTTGGGTTGAGCTTCATCTGGTGTTTCCTGAGGACTTGGAACATTTCCTGTAGATCAACCAGATGGTCTTGAGCTTTCAAGCTTTTTACGAGCATGTCATCCACATACACTTCCATATTCCTTCCGATTTGGTCCTTAAACATCAGGTTTACTAGCCGCTGATATGTTACACCAGCATTTTTTAGCCCAAAAGGCATCACCTTATAGCAATATAAACCTCTATCCGTGATGAAAGAGGTTTTATCTCTGTCTGGTATGTGCATTGAGATTTGGTTATACCCTGAGTATGCATCCATAAAACTGAGCAGCTCATGGTCAGCTGTCCCTTCTACCAACATATCAATTCTTGGCAGAGGGAAACTGTCTTTGGGGCACGCCTTATTTAAATCTGTAAAGTCTACGCACAACCTCTATTTTCCATTAGCCTTTTTTACCAAAACAACATTGGCCAACCAGTCGGGATAATGAACCTCTTGGATGAAATCAGCTTTCATAAGCTTATTCACCTCTTCTGATATAGCCATGTTCCTTTCCGCGACAAATGTTCTTCGCTTTTGCCTGATAGGTTTGAATGTAGGATCTGTGTTTAATCGATGCTCAATCGTAGTTGGATTAATACCGGGCATGCCTTCATGTGACCAAGCGAATACATCTTGATTCTGTCTGAGGAACTGTATAAGAATATTTGTGAAATCTGAGGGGAGCAGAGACCCTATCCTCACCTTTTTTGTTATGTCAGTGTCATTCAAGCATATCTCCACCAAGTCCTCGATTGGCTTAGCCTGGTCTTGCTCCTTCTCTTCAACTTCATTGACAATCAAAGCCTCCTGCTGCCTCTTTTCTTTGAGAGAGGCAACATAGCATTCTCTGGCAATGGACTGATCTCCTCTTAGTTCGCCCACGCCATGCTCGGTAGGGAAGCGCATTAATAGGTGATAAGTCGAAGTGATGGCCCTCATCGAATTTAAGGTCGCTCTTCCTAGGATGACATTATAAGCAGATGGACAATCCACCACCAGGAAGTCTACCATGACAGTGACTTGTTTTGGGCTGGTTCCTATAGTGACAGGAAGGATGACTGCTCCTAGAGGATAGACCTTGTCTCCCATGAATCCCACCAATGGTGATCTAGTAGGTCTGAGTTTCTCCTTACCAATCTTTATCTTGCTGAATGCATCAAGAAAAATGATATCAGCTGAACTTCCATTATCTACCAAGCTTCGCCGAGTATTATAGCTAGCGATCATCATGGTGACGACAAGAAAGTCGTCATGAGGTTGCTGCACATCCTTCATGTCTTCATCTGAGAATGTAATAACTGGATCACCTAAACGAGGCATCTTTCGATGTTGAATCTGTACTCCTACTTCGCACACCTCAGATGAGCTTCGCATTCTCCTGGCATAGGCCTTACGGGCTGAGCTCGATTCTCCACCTCCTGCACACCCCCCGGCTATGACCCTGATATCTCCTATTGGTTGTTGATCAAGAGGGTGGTTGTCTCGGCCAGCTCTTAGTGGGTTAATGTCGGTTCTGTCATTCCCCACAACAAACTTTCGCATGTGCCCCCTTCGGATCAGAGTCTCAATTTGATCCTTAAGGTCGAAGCAATCCTCTGTAGCGTGCCCATAGTCTTTATGGAACCTGCAATACTTATCACAAGGTCTCCTTGCTGGATCTGACTTCAACTTCGGTGGCCACTTGTAATACCCCTAATTTTAAAAAAGATAGTCGTGGCATTTATTTTAATTATGTATGTGTGTTTTTACTAAATTTATTGTTCAAATTGTATTTTGTTTGTTTAAATAAATTGTTTGCTGGATTAATTGCATTACTTGAATTAAATTGGTTTAAATATTTGGTTAATAAATTATTTGCTTGATTATTTGCATTTCATGAATTAATTGTTTAAATAAAACTGTTTTAGGTTAATTGGTTATTTAATTATGTTTCTTAAGTTTTCTTAATTACGTGCTTATGTAAAATTAACTGTTTTATTATTTAGGGTTTAGTTTATTTAGCCAACACAGGTTTTAATTATGTTCTATGGGCCGGTTAGGATTTAGTTAGGGCTTGAATTAATTTAGGGTTTGGTATAATTCTATAAATATATAGGTATACGTCTGTCTAGGGTTTTTGATAAACCCTACTCACCACCTTCAATAATAGAGTCACGTAATAGAGTCATTCAGAGAGTTGTGAGGGCAGAGAAATAGAGAGTGAGCTTATGTGGTTTACTGAGAGAAACTTTAGGAGATTAAGGGAGGGATTCAAGGAGGAGTTTTGGTCCTAACTAGGAGTGGCAGAGGTTGATAACAACAAGTTGACATTGTCGGAATTTATAGAGACAGTGAATTATAATTTCAAATCTGAAACTACAGGCAAGTCTCTGTTCTTCTCTCTCCCGTTAATTCGTGTTCTGTGCATGCCTAGTTAGACTCCAGGAATTAATCAAACATTAAAATAGATTCAACGAATGTAATAATTCATCTTGTATGCATGTTGAATCAGTATTTTGTTTCTATTGAGTTAATCTGTTTGATGTTGCTTAAAAGTTTTAACAGAAATCTTGTTGCCGATTATTTTAGCACTTGTGTTATATTCCTGTTGTGATTGGATATCTATGTTTTAGTATTAGTTTGAGATATTTAAATGAACCCTAGAATAAGTTCTTAAAACAGTAATGAAGATCACCAACTAAATCTGTTGTGGGTTGCTTAAAGTTTCAAACTAAGGTTTTGTAATCATTGCTTCTAAACCTATGTTTTATGCATGCTATCATTGAATATCAGTGGTTTAATATGTACCTAGGACTGAGATTAAACCTAGAATGAGAATTAAAACATGTTACAGAGGCTCTGGTAATCACCGGAATTGGAGAAGACGAAGCTGGACCGGGCAACGGCGGCTAGGGGAAAAGTGAGCAGGCTCTCAAATATCTTAGAGCCGGCTCCAAACTTATTTGGAGGCGGCTCCAAGTGTCTTTGAGCCGGATCTAAGTGGTTTAGAGCCAGCTCCAAAATAAAAATAGAGCAGGCTCCAAATTTTAGAGCCTGCTCAATCTTAAAAAGCACAGAATTGAAGTTTTAGGGACTTTTGGCTGAAATTGGTTTTTCTAAAATTATTTAAAGGCTACTGGATGTTGTAATTTAATGTTTAAGACTTGTAAAAATGTTGGGAAGCATGATTACAAGTAGGAATTGAGGACGGGATTATTCTAAGATTAAACAGTGAACCTGTGGGTAGATGATTTGAAAATTAATTTTTGTTGTCTACTATTTTTGGAACTTTATTTCTCTACATGACTTGGATTTATAAATCATGTTTTGCAGCTATGTTATAAGCATACTGTGGTATTGTTATATGTATGCTTAGTTGGGATCAACTGGTGTTAAAATCTGTTTTACATTGCATCAGTTATGGTACTGTTTGGAGAGATAGACTGTGTAACTCTACTTTATCAATTTAACGGACTGTAATTGGGATTCTAAATCTTATATTGAATGCATAAGTTGGTTATATACATGTTAAACTATATTTATGCTAATTCTGGAGTATGGTTGATAAATACTTATTCCTGTTTTTGTCAACTTCGTTAACTGGAGGATTGTATCTACCGGTATGGGACGGTGACATACTAGGTATGGACTTGTTCAAACACTGAGTTCTACCTAACTTGGATTAAGGTATGGATTAATCATATAGGTTAAGTCTATTACCTACTTGTGTCATATCAATTGAGAATTGAATAACCTACTATGGTTTCAGGATGAATTTGTTATACATATATCAGACCACTACACAGATGGATGGTATTTTGTATTAGGAGGAGTACGGACTTTATATATATATTATATGGTGCCGTGGTATGAGCTTGAGTCTCATAACCATGGTTAGGGCGCGTACATTGCCTAGGATGGATAACTGGACATAGGTGTTGTTCCCTGGTAGGTCTAGGTACTCATGCCCACCTTCGGGTGCGTATTCGCATGTTGCCTTCTATTCAGGCTGAGACAGACCTACTAGACTAGCGAGCGTCCTATAGTGTGTACTATATACATATATGGACTACTCTAGATATTGTTGAGTCTTCTTAGAATATATCTGCGTATCGGATTACTGTTTGGATTGTAGTAGATCAGGACTTGCATGTGGGCCTGACCCACTTCTTTATTTTTCAGGTGCTCGTCAGTTCCAGGGTTAGAGTTTGGACGTGCAGAGCAGATACAGCTATTCATTCCTCTGATTATGTAGGAATCTTCCCTATAATAGCTTTGGATTTTATTTTTATTATTTCAGTATCTGTTGGAGAATTTTAATAAAGGGTCCAATGGATGGATTCCCGAGTTGTAAACTTATGGAGTTTTGGATTATCAGGTTTTAAGTATTTAATTATAAAGGATTTTATTGTTAGATTCTTTCAGCTTATTATTATTTTTTTATTTCTTATTTTATCTTGTATTCTGTGTTCGGTTACATATTAATTGTTTGATATCCCTTGGGTTTGGGCCTGGGCCTGATCAACCCGTGTCTCGGATCCGAGGGGTATCACAGTTGGTATCAGAGCACTCCAGGTTCAAGTGTCTCTAGGATTCTATCGTATAAGACTTTCGCGTAGCGTTTTCTCTTGATTAGAGCTTAAGTATTAAGATTCATTGTATTCTTTACGGTTCAGTTTGGTCGTGCTGATGTCTGTCTTTTTGTGTTGACAGAATGGCTAACGCAAGAACCAGACGAAATAATCGGCAACGAAGAGAAGTGGCCCGTAGGAAGCGTTAGGAGGATGAAGGTCAGTTTTATGAGGAGCATGAGGAAGTTCAGCAGACTTGGGATCAGGGAGAAGAGCCAGAGTTTCCCCCTCACCTCAATGACCTTATTGCTCGGGCTATAGAAGCAGAGGTAACGGCTGCTCTTTGGAATCAGCCTCAGATACAGCCGGCACCATTACCAGCACCGGTTGTTCAGACTGATACTTGGGAGAAGGCAAGGAGTTCTTTCACAAAGGGGAGCCCACCTGAGTTTACAGGCTCCACCGATGCGAGAGCAGCTCACCAGTGGAAACAGGACATCGAGCGACATCTTCACTTGGTTCAGTGCACGGAGGTTCAGAAACAGATGCTTGCTACCTTCAAGCTAGTTGGGGATGCACTACAGTGGTGGGAGTCAGTTACCACCATAGAGGAGAGGATGGCTTTGACTTATGAGGAGTTCAGTGCACGCTTTGAAGAAAAGTATTTTCCTTATGCAGTCAGGGCAGCCATGAAGACTAAGTTTCTCAATCTGCAACAGGGAAACATGACAGTGGCAGAGTATGAGCAGCAGTTCACACGTTTGTCTCTCTTTGCACCAAAGGAGGTGGATACGGAGGAAAAGAAGCGCAACAGTTTCGTCAAGGGACTGATGTGGTCTATCAAGAGAGCTATTACAGGTAGTCCAGCCTATACTACCTATGCTCAGGTGGTAGACGCCGCGCTACAGCAGTACCAGTTGACGGTGGACATTAGACAGGCCAAGGGTAAGAAGTGAGGTGACCGAGACTCTGCTAACCAGTCAGCTGAGAAAAGGAATGGGAATGGACACCGACACAATGACAAGGGCAGATTCCAGGGACAAAACCTTGGAAGAAGCACAAGGGTGGTTCAGATGTTTCTAAGGATGTGGCACCTATTCATCATCGACAGAATGGGGGACCACAGGCAGGACAGGGTCAGCCACAGGCTAATCGACAGAGGAGGCCATTCGGTACTTTCCAGGGTAGTTGCTATACTTGTGGGGAGTCTGGTCACACTTCCAGGCAGTGTCCTGCAGTCAGACAGGGACAGAGACAGGAACAGGGACAGCATGTACAGCAGGGACAGAGGGCGCCAGTGCCCCTACCAGCTCCACAGGTTCCTCGGATTCAGGGACAGACTTATCCGGCATTACCAGCTCCGCCGCAGCCTCAGGGACAGGCACCGCAGCAGTTACATTATGGCAGGGTGTATAACCCTAAGCCATAGGATATGCAGGCACCTCAGGCTGTTGAGGGTAAGTTTCCTATACATGGTTTTCATGGACGTGTTTTATTTGATACGGGTGCTACACACTCATTTGTAGTTAGGACTTTTATTGCTTTATCGGGGATACGGACGAGGGTATGTACTAGACCTCAGGATATTTCTACACCATTGGGCGATACAACCATTACACATGAGAGTGATGGGCCTGTGACACTAGATATTGGCAGACTCAGGTTTCTAGCCAACCTATTGGTCCTGGACATGCACACTTATGATGTGATACTTGAGATGGATTGGTTGTCTCACTACCATGCCCAAGTTGATTATTTTGGTAGATCTATTATATTTACCATACCTGGTCAGGATATGTATGTAGTAGCTATGCCACGTTCTAAAGGAGGCGGTAGCACCTATTTGTTCCATGTGGAGGAGGAAACGGAGGAGGGGACTATTGTATCGTTGGATGACATACCGATTGTACAGGATTTCCCGGATGTATTTCAGGAGATTCCAGGGTTGCCACCTAGTCGCGAGATTGATTTTGTGATAGACTTAGCTCCAGACACTGCGTCTATTGCTAGGGCACCTTATAGGATGTCACCGGTGGAAATGCGCGAGCTGAGGGATCAGATTCAGCAATTACTTAGCCAGGGTTTTATTCGTAGGAGTACATCACCTTGGGGAGCAACGGTGTTATTTGTGAAGAAAAAAGATGATTCGCTCCGCTTGTGTATAGATTACAGGGAGTTGAATAAGGTTACGATTCGTAACAAGTATCCTTTGCCCAAGATTGATGACTTGTTTGATCAGTTAAGGGGAGCCAGATATTTCTCCAAGATTGATCTGCGTTCTGGATATTATCAGTTGAAGGTTAGGGAGCAGGATGTGCCTAAGACCGCATTTCTTACAAGATATGGATCATATGAGTTCCGTGTCATGCCATTTGGGACGACTAACGCACCAGCAGTGTTCATGGACTTAATGAACAGAGTCTTCCGGGCTTATTTGGATCAGTTTGTAATTATTTTTATTGATAACATCTTGATCTATTCTCGATCGGAGGACGATCATACGAGACATCTTCGAATGGTGTTGCAGACGCTTCATGAGCACCAGTTGTAAGCCAAATTCGAGAAGTGTGAATTTTGGCTGCGGGAAGTGAAATTTCTGGGTCACGTGGTGTCAGAAAAAGGGATAGCAGTAGATCCAGCCAAGGTTTCAGCTGTGGTTGAGTGGGGACAACCTACTTCACCTACCGAGATTCAGAGTTTTATCGGATTGGTAGGATACTACCGGAGGTTCATTCAGGGGTTCTCTAAGATTGCGGGACCACTCACTCATCTGACCAAGAAGGGTGTACAATTCGTGTGGGATGAGCACTGTCAGATGCCCTTTCATTCTGGTTGACCATGGGTTTCTTATACTTGGTTTCCTTTTCATCTCTGATCGTCAGGGCCGGCCTTTTCTTGTCTGACTTCTTATCCTCCCCTTCTTTTCCCTTTTTCGCAATCATTGCATCTTCAGTATTCATATGTCTTTTAGCTCGAACCAATAACTCGGCCATGCTGGTAGGAGGTTCCTCTGATAAAGAGAAGAGGAATCTTGAGGTTTGAAGTCCTCCCATAAAGGCGGCTAGGGCCACCTTGTCATCCGCTTCCTCCACCTGTAACATCTCCGTGTTAAAACGACTAATGTAATCTCGCAATGACTCTCCCTTCTGTTGCTTCACAGTAAGGAAGTGGGTAGCCGGCCTTCTATGCCTCTGGCCAGCAATGAAATGGCCCACAAAGCCCTTACTCAATTCTTCAAAGGTTTCGATGGTTCCTGGCTTTAGTTTGTTGAACCATACCCGTGCTGATCCTTTGAGAGTCGTTGGGAAAGCCCTGCACATGATCTCATCTGGCATCGCGTGTAGGTGCATAAGCGCCTGAAAAGTCTCCAAGTGGTCGAGGGGATCTTTAGTTCCGTCGAAACTCTCAATTGTGGGCATTCTAAATTTGCTTGGCAAAGGGCATTTCATAACCGAGGGGCTGAACCACAAATTGGTCTTCTGCACGAAACCATCTATGGCTGCAATGCCTTTTCCCTTCATGGCCTGCATCACACCCTCCATCTTTGCCTTGAGATCCTGTATCTCTAGGTCAACGTGGGAAATCTCCTCGATCTTTTCAATGTCAGTAGTGTCTTCATGGGGTCGGGAACTCCGTGGAAGAAAGGGGTGGATCACCTCTCTATGTCGGTTTCCCACCTGGCTTTGTTCAACTTCGGTCTCATGTCGGGGAGGATGAGTATCCTGCTCTTCTAAGTTCCCATTACCCCTGTTTGGATTCGAGAGGTCTTGGCGTGGCAAGCTCTGTTGAACCGGTGGAACAAGGTGTTGCAGGAGTGCTGCATTTTGTTGGATCAACTGGTCCCTACCCTGATTCAGAGTTTGGACCTGCAGTTCCAACGCTGCAAACCGTGTCTGGTCATTTGGGACGTCTAGATTTTCACCCGACTCTTCCCTTTGACCAGATCCCTGCGACGGTGTTCCTTCGGTAACCATACCGGACCGCAAACGTCTATACCCAACGAATAATAAATCGATTCGAGGGAATTGTCGTTCTCACAGACGGCGCCAACTGTTGAAGTTGAAATTCGCCGCGGTCTAGTACAACACCGTTTCCTGCAAAATAAGGATGGCAAAGTCAAACACCGGTGTGGTGCCGGCCGTTGACCCTCCGACGATCAAGTTAGTAAGGGTTCTCGATAGAGAATTTTAATCGTAATTCGCTTAGTAGGAGTTTTTTTGTGTGTATCTTGTTCCCGAGTCTGGTGGCCGGTCAATATTTAATTACCTTTTTCGTTAAGTCAAGATTGGCTAGGGTTATTTTTCCCTATCATTCAATATCAACTTTTTTTGGTTCTTAGATATTGATGATTTAGAGTCAATTTTTTAATTGAATTTTTTTGGTTCTTCAATGCTTGAGTTTGAATATTGTTGATTTGTCCCCTTTTTGCAATCTTTACTACTTGTCTTAGATATTGATAATTTAGAGTCAATTTTTTAGTTGAGTTTTTTTGGTTCGCCTAGGATTCTAAGAAATTGTTCTTTTTTTCTTGTTTTTTTTTTTTTTTAATTTTTTTCTCATTTGTGTTGATTGTTAGAGTTCTGTTGTTCTTGCCTTGATGTACTTTATTGTATTTGTTTAATAAAATTTTCATATTTAGGGAGAAAAAAAATAGTAAAGTAAATGATCACAGATTTATTATGTTGGATTTGTTATTCAATTTATATGATGTTTTGCAGGGCCGGCCTAGCTCAAGACGGCCAAGACGGTCGCCTAGGGCTAAAAAAAAAAAAAACACTTAAGACCCTTCGATAAAGCGAATTCACAACTCATTCAAAATTATGGTCCTTAAAAACTTGGTGATTAAATTTAAAATTCAATATAGCCATTTACTACTTTATGTTTATGTTAGTGTGTATTTCAGCAATTAAAGAACCTCACATTTAAATTTGTTTAAGACCTCTCAAGATTTGCCAACCCTGATGTTTTGAAATTGAAATAAAATTTTTAAGATTTGTAAAAATTAAAATATAAATTCGGGTTGGGTGGATTTTATTGAGGAAGAAGCATAACACTTAAAGAGAGAACAGGGTGATGGGGTTATTATTGGCATTAATTTAACACATTGCCATACAATCATTGCAAGTTTGTAACAATTTATAAAGAAGAAGAAGTTGGCACTCGACTGTCAAACCATAGTCGCCCAAGCAAACCATAGTACTCTCTGGAATCTTAAATTGATCTTTCAAATTTATTTGTATAATTGAGTGATTTCTCAACCTTTTGTTGTGTTATGAATGAAATTCACATTTTAACTTATCTGCTGCATCATGATAAAAATTCTATTTAATTACACTCTTAAATGACATTACTCAAAGAAAATATTGAAAAAAGTACATAAAAATTCCTTTCACTTGTATTCTTTTTTAATAAACTCTTCTTATCTAATTTGTTACCAACAAACCTTCAGGGATAAAATAGTAGATACTTGGACAAAAATATCTTTTTATTTGAATTATAATTCGTCCGAACTTCAAAAATTCATATCTCATAAACTGTGCATTCAAAAATTACAAATAATATATTTACGAAAAGTTTATAGAACAAGGATTTTAAAAATATAAAATTTGTGCAACAATACGCCATTACCAAAGAGAAATAGGCAATCTAAGATTTTGTTGCAGCAATCTTATTTTATCATTTAAAAAATAAAATACTTAGCATATTTGCATATAGAGCATAACATATAAAAAAAAAATTAGTCCCAAAAAATCGAATATTCTTTTTGATTTTTTTTTTTTAAAATGGTGAGCCTATAAGAAAATGAAAATATTTTGACACACAATATGATATTTCATAAAATCGGTCTCTGTTAGGGCTAAAGTTTTTATATTATATGTTCCATATGCAAATGAATAAGTTTGAAAATTTCTTGCAAATATCTCGAGCTTAAAATAAAATAAGATTGGTAGAGCAAATTCTTAGATTGCTTATTTATTTGGTTATGAAAGTTTGTTGCAAAAATATTATATTTCTAAAATCCTTATTTTATAAACTTTATGTGCATATATTATTTATAATTTTTTGAAGTATGATTTTGAAATATAAATTTTTAAACAAGAAGAATTTATTGAAAATAGATACAAATCGATGATGAGGGATTATTTTTTCCTAAAAAAATATAATGTCAATAACATAATTTCAACTTAATTTGACAGGCTCCTCAAACGATGTATAAGCACATAACAGAAAAGCATTCATTTGAAATTAAATTAAGTTGTTTTTATAGTACAACTAAGCCTAACCCAATCAGTTGAAAATTAAACTGAGCTTAAAATAAGATTTTGCCGGAGTTCTTTTATGTTAGGGGATAGCAGAAGTGAACAACACATTCACATCCTACCGAGAGATAGGATGCCCGAGTCTCATACAGAGTATTATTTTACGAGACTTTCACGCACCTTCTTTCTCTACCAAATTCATAAATTCCTTCTACTCATCAACTCCCTTTTCATATTACATTGCTTTTAACTCATACCTCTCGACCTTGGTATTTATTTATAGAGCCAAAAATTTAATTTTTTGTTGGACAATAATTACAATTTTTTAGAGGAACGAACCACAAAATTAACTAATATAATACAATTCTAAAATAGAAATCTAATTACAATAAGAATTTGAGAGACAATCCTAGCAATTTACACATTGACTCAAATTCTATAACGTCAATCATCGCTCCACAACATTGATCTGGACAAATCTTTGTAACTTTCATCTTAATGATCCTCCAGTAAAACGTCAATTGTCTCCATTATACGATGCTCGATCTGTCAAATCTCTACAACTCCAACTTGACTACTCAATCTCCATGTCATAACATCAGGATTTTTTGACTACCGTGACCAAACAAGCGATTGTTTCAACAAGCAACTAAAACTCATTGCAACACTTGTTGAGATTACTTGTGTTTTTTGAAATATTGTTTTGTTACACAAAGTTTGAACCTTTGAATGAAAATTAAAATTTTAAGTTAAAAATAACAATATTCAAAGATATTTGAATGAAAATTAGAATTTTAAGTTAAAAATAATATTCAAAGATATTTTGAATATTGTTATTTTTAACTCAAAAGTCTCATTTTAACTCAAATATTTAATCTCGATCTGTACACTAAAACATTGTATATACTATTAAAAACTTAATTACAATATAAATTTAAGACACAATTCTAACACTTTAGACATTATATGTACTATTTTTTATTTTATTTTATTTATTTATTTATTTATTTTTATCAACCCATTGCAGCAAATTAGGGCAAATAAACCCGGAACCGGATAAGGGCGGATAAAGTGGAGAAGATTAGGTCAAAGAAACCAGGAGGCGAATAAAGGGAGATAAAAAGGAGTGATGCTCATTTCAAATTTCAATCATTGTATGCAAAACCATCATCTTTATACACCACTTCATTAACCAGTCGATGACCCTACTTGAGATTCCAATTTGCTCAGTGGAACATGCATTCATACTTCATTTTTTTACTTTTTCCCTTTATTTCAATCATTTCCCAATTTAATTACCTCAATCATGTCTTGCCTGATGCATGAATTTAGATATGTTTGACGTAAATTCACATGAAAACTTCCTTTAACTATGAAATCACAATGGTGGCACATTAATTCAGCTATTGTCACATTAAATAATTTCTCTTCTAAATGATTTGAGGTGAACTTGAACTATATATATATATATAGCTCCACATGGAGATATATATATATAGCTCCACATGGATATGTTAATATAATAAGCATGATTCCGAATGTGGAGACAAACTAATATGAAATTCATGTGCAATTTGTTTTTATAGCTTGAAAAGAATAGCATATTACATGTATAAATTTACTCTCCATTGCAGAGGATCTAAACCTCACTGAGAATATTTCCCCTTATTTGTTAAGGTGAGTCTTCGAATATGGCTTAGTGGGTGTTTATGTTAATATGATGCAGGGCAAACTGTCGGGGAAAAACCCTCATGAACTAAAGGCTTTGTATTTCCTTTCCCTATAAATTTCTCTTTGTTAGCTGTACGTACATTTACAAAAAAACAATAGGAGGAAAAAATAATAATAAAAAAAAAAAGGGCTTTTGATACCATATGCGATCATTGATTTGTTGTGATTTTTTTTTTTTTTTTAAATAAAATAGTTTTGTTTGATGAAAGATATACATGAAGAAAGAGTAATGAAAAAATTATTGTCCCAGGAATTGTCAGCCTTATCTTTCACTGTTTCACCCCCAACAAGGAGCAGCGAAATAATTGTGTCGAATATCAATTTAATATGTTAAACAACACATTAAATTAAAGTACATGCAACACCATTATTGGTATTAAGTCTCGTTGGTGTCCCAAAAGTAGGGTTACAACTCGGACAAGTTGAACAAATTTGAGGTATAATTTGACCCCAACTCATCATATGACATGCTAAATTCAATTTCAAGCATAACCCTATGCTCAACTCTAACTACTTAATCCGAGCACAACCCATTATTCTACTTTTAAATTCGAACTTGCAACTCGGGCTTAGATTTTATGTTAAAATTTCGGGTTAATTTGGATTATTCATGTAGCTAATTTTCACACCAAAAATTTAATATGATCTTTAATTAGTTTTGAATTAAATTACTCTTAAATAAGAAAAAGTTCAAAGACTTTTTGTAGATTTTTAATAAATTACAAAAAAAAAAAACTTGCAAAATTAAGTCTCCTAAATGTTAAGATACAATAAGTTATGACAAAGGAAGTTGAAAAGAAAAAAAGTAATCATAGATTAAATATTATATATAATGTATTTTAAAGTAAAAATATATATATCTAAAAATAATATTATAATTCGGGTTCGGGTTCGGGTTCGGGTTCTGTTTGTTAGCACTTCAATTCAAGTTTAACCCTAATTTAATTTGAGTTAAGATTTTTCAACCCAAACCTAATCCTAAT